CCTCCCCCTCCTCCTCCACCTCCTCCTCCTCCTCCTCCTCCTCCACCCCCTCCTTGTCCTCCTCCTCTACCCCTTCCTCCTCATCTTCTTCCCCGTCTTCCACGCGCCTACCTTCTAGACGACTCCCCCCCGCCGCACCACCAGACGCGTCGATATGGCGGGGCGGGCGTTCCGCCGGAGACTTCCTCACCACTTACGATCCTCAAGCTCGAAACGGTGAAGCACCTACAAGCATGGGGAGGCTGTGCCTGTTCGAAAGGGGCCTCGCCTCCGCGGCGCGCACGTTCGCCGGGAAAGCTTGCCACGGGTACTGGGATGGGGGGCGGCACCGCTCGCCCTCACGCCGCGCAAACTCGCTGGACAGGCTCGCAGCAATTACAGCGAGCGGCTTGAATAAGGAACACTTACTTTTCAAAAGGGGCTTGGTCGTTCCTTAGGCTCGCATGCGTTAAGTTCGTTCCTTATGCGTTATGCACTACTTATCCTTCCTTATGCGTTCTTCCTTTAAAATCGGGGCTTCGTTCCTTATGTATCGTTCCTTAGATCAGGCCGATGACTGTACGAGCATGGAGGGCGGCACCTTGTTTGAAAGTGGAGGAAGTCCCCCTGAACAGGGCAAACGATCATCGGTACGACAGCGCCGACGCCGACGACCCCCACTTGCGACGGGGACCACTGACAACTTGGGCAAAAGAGTGATGACCGTGACCTCGGCGATCGCCTGAGGAGCCACGTGCCGCGGGTTTCGTCAACGAAGGCCTTGACGACCAGGAGGCAAACCAAGACGACGACGACGACGACGACGACGACGACGACGACGACGACGACGGATGCAGGGACGACGACGGTGGCGACGTCGCGACGGCGAGGAACAGCGGTAGCGACCGGCGGACCCTGAGAGCTGACGCCGCAAGCGAAACGCAACATCGTGAATCAAGCCTGCCTCCTCCTCCTCCTCCTCCTCCTCCTCCTCCTCCTCCTCCTCCTCCTCCTCCTCCTCCTCCCCCTCCTCCCTCCTCCCCCTCCCTCATCGTGAATCAAAGACTCGACCAGAGTTAAGTAGGGCCTGTCCCCCTACAGGGGGGTTGTCGACGAAAAATGAAAAATACCCCAAAAATAGTCAAATAAAAGTCAAAAAATAGTCAGGGGACTATTTTTTGGAATTCTTTGACCTTTTTGGGGTATTGTTGGGGTATTCTAAATTTTTCGTCGAAGATCCCCTTGTAGGGGGATAGGCCCGACATAAGACCAGAGCCCCAGAACCCATCTCTCTCTGCGGCTTCTCGGAGCGGAGATCGATACGCGACGGCGCCGGGGGCCCGAAACGAAGCAGAATCGCCCGCTGTGAAGCAAGTGCGACGCCAGGGTCTCAGCGTCCTCCTCCTCCTTCCCCTCCTGTTCTACCTCCTTTTCGTCCTCCTCCTCCTCCTCCTCATCCTCATCCTCCTCCTCCTCCTCCTCCTCCTCCTCCAAGGCTGTAGACAGCCCGACCGTTGCGCGGCAGGGGGGGGCCTCACGCACCTGTCTAGACTTTTGGGCGCGGACCTTCACGGCCGGAGAGCGCATGGGCGCACCCCGGTTGTGAAGGCTGCTGTCGCCATTCACTCCCCTCCTCACCCTCCATCCTCCTCGTCGTCGTCCTCCTCCTCCTCCTCCTCCTCCTGTACTTCCTCCTCCCCTCCTCCTCCTCCTCCTCCTCCTCCTCCTCCTCCTCCTCCTCCTCCTCCTCCTCCTCCTCTCCCCTCCTCCTCCTCCTCCTCCTCCTTCTCCTCCTCCTCCTCCTCCTGTGGCTGCTGCTCATGCGCGCCCTGGCCCTGTCCACGTCGTCGGCACTGGCCGCGCGTGTGAGGATAGATTGGAGTCGGGCCTGCCCCTCTACGGGGGGAAAATTCAAAAATAGGCAAAGCATAGTACGGGGACCATTTTTTGGGGTATTCTTGGGCATCTTTTGGAATATGTTTGGGGGGTACGTTTCATTTTTCGCCGAAGATCCCCCTGTAGGGGGACACGCCCGACTTACGAATACATTGGGCAGGGAGCAGCGTCGCCGCCGCTCTCCCTTGGGCCCGGGCCCCTCGCCCGCGCGGGGCCCCTCGGCCTGCGCTCCTCGCCCAGGCCCTCCGGAGTCCTCGGCCCAGACCTCCAGGGACTCGGGCGCTGCAGCGGCGCGGGCGCGTGCTGCTCCCGCTCAGCTTAACTGTAAGTCGGGCGCGCCCTCCTTACAACGGGATTTTGGGCGAAATATTGTTATATATATATATATGTATATATGTATGTATGTATGTATGTATGTATGTAGGTAGGTAGGTAGGTAGGTAGGTAGGTAGGTATACATATATATATATATATATATCTCTATATATAAACACAAATATGCCAAATAATGCCCTAAAATAATCAAAACAATCGTCCCCAGGCTATCTTTTACTATGTTTGAACACTCCCCCTGTAGAGGGACAGGCGCGACTTAAGCTTAACTGTTGGGACCAACCCCCGCCACCTGGGGGTGCTCGATTTTCCCAACTGCACGGCGCGGTCGTCCCTCCAGCGGTGGCCACCACATTGCACGCCGCACGTTGGCTGTTCTACTGCAGGGACATCACCTACGACAGGGTGACGGAGACGATCGCGCATCTTCCTGGGCCAGGGTGCGCGGGTGGCAACTCTTGGTCGCACTCCCCCTCACCACCCCCACTGGCGGAACGTCGGCTGGCGTTGGCACCATGGGCCGAGACCTTCCTCTGCCTGCGCCCACCCTCAAACGGGCATTGGCTGGCCCCGCACAGATCTGTCGGTGCTGTAGTCAACATTCCTGGTAGTGGCTTCATCTGCCTCTCCAGCCTCTACCTGCTCCACGCCCAGGGGCTCAGCGACCAGAACGTTGGATTGTTAGCGAATGTGGCCGCTGCTTTGGAGCTGTGGGCTGGGCCGTGCATCCTGGGGCTGGTTCCAACATGGAACCTTCGCAGGTGCTGGATTCCGAGTTTGCCAGGTCGTGTCGGGGCCATGTCGTGGTTCCTGCAGCCGCTTTTGGGACCCGTTTGTCTTCGGCTGAGCCTCGTTTGTTGGACTTCTTCGCGGTCTCCAATGGGCTCGCCAAAAGCGTGTCACAAGTGCTCGTCGAGCATACTGCCCGTACGTCGCCGCACTCGTCTGCGCCCTTGGAACTTTACCCGCAGCTGGCGCAGCTTTATGGCCTCAAGTTCCGCCGACACCCTCCGATCTCTGTGGACCCCATCACAGGGCCTCCTCCCTCAGCCACCTGAGTGAGATGGGGCTCAGGACTTGGGGGATCAGCCTTTGTAGGCCGTCAACACTGGAAGGACCCAGCCTGTCCAGAAGCTACTTGGCGCGGTCTACCTCTCGTGGGCGAACCTGTCTGAGCGGGAACTTACCAACTCCCGTGGGATCAATCTACCATGTGTTGGTTCGCAGGGCAAGGCCCCACGGATGTGCAGGTCGCTGCTTCTCGAGCAATGTAGGAGACCCCCGTGTGTCAGCCCACGTTCTATGCTATCAAGTGGTTGCTTTGAAAGTAAAGGATTTTCGTCTCCCTCCTCGGCGCCCTCGGAGAGGTCCCGCGTCAGCACGCATCGGCACGCTCCGACATGGCTGTTCTATGCAGTCTCCTGGGGGACCCTCCCGCGTTCTTGCAGCGCGGGCCGCCCACCACCAGCGATGGCACGCTGACGCGCTCATGCCGTGGAGCAGCCAGTTTACATGGATCTCTGCCACCAGCTGCACGAGAAGCTCGGCGAGACCGCCGCGGCGGTCGCCAGGGCTCCAGCTCAGCCGGAGGCACCCGCAACTTGGAAGCAGCGGTTGTTGGACCAGGTTGAAGCGCGCGCCAAGCGGGCCCATTCGGCCGCGCGTGGCTTCGCGCCCTGGGCTCCTACCGCCGCGTTGCTTTCCAATGGCGCGGGTGCGGGAGATCCCCGGGCTCTGCTTGATTCGCATGCTCGACAGAACTCTGATGTGTGGCTCGCTGGCTCAGAACGCCGATCAGAGGCCGAATGTCCCTGGCCCCCCCCCCCTACCCGGTTTCTTACCCGGGCGAGCTGCGAGCAGGCAGCCGCAAGCTTTCGGCTCGCACGGCCGCGTCGATCGATGACTTCCACTTGCGCCACTTCGAATCGTTATCGGATGCCTCGCTCACCTGCTGTCCACGATTTACGTTGCGATGAGTCCAGCTGCCTGATTCCAGTGCAAGCGAGCATCACGGTCACGCCAGCCATAAGCATGCATTTCGGTGGGTTCAGACCCGCCGGTCTCTTCCTATCGGCTCTGGGGCAAGGGGGGGGAGTTGCGCTACGAGCCGGTGGGGGGTTCTCAGAGGCGATCCTGTTTTGCTGCAGGGAAGCCCCCCTCCTCCGACGCGGTGTGGCGCCAGTCTTCGCGGGGGGAGGTCGCAGTGCAAGAGGGCGAGGTTTCTGCCATTATGCCCCGGGACCTGTTCACATGTTCCGAGACGATTAGCCGCCTCGACCTGCTCCTGCGCCGATGCGCTGAACGCGTTTTCAACGCGACGGCCGCGCACCTTGTCGTTGCCGCGCACTGGAGTGCATGGTTCATTACGACGTGCCCGATGGTCAAGGGCCCGTACATTGTCTGCAAGGGCATTATCGCAGGCTGCCTGTTTGCGACGACCATAGATCCGACGTTCATCATCGGCCCGCTCGACACGGCTGCTGCCCCGAAAACTGTCTCGCCCGACGCGCGCGCCGACGATTGCGGTCTCGTCTCTCGATTACTAGCCTCCCCTTCTGAGGTCATTCAGGATACGTTGGCCGCGGCCTCTTTTTTGCACCGAGCCATCTCGATCGCGCTGGCGGCAGTGTTTCGCATGAGAAGGCCAACTTCACGGCCTCGCACCGTCGCGTTGCAGTTGCTCTCCGCTCGGAGCTGAGAGTTCTAGCTGGCAGGCGCGTTGTTTCTTCGACAGCCAGCCTTGGAATCGACCGTGCCTCTGGACGGCCCAGACGGGCTTCGGCGTTCCACGGCTTACAAGGTTCGGGCGCGCACGCTCAACACGAAGACCCGACGGCTGCAAAAGTTACGGAAAGCGCGCCAGTTGATCACCTTGCAATTGACCAGGGGGGGGGGGCGCTCGAAGAGCCCCCCCCCCCCCCCCCCTCCCCTTCAAAGGGGGGGTGAGATCTCGCCCCCCCCACCCCGCCTTCCCCCCTTAAGGGGAGGGGGGGGGGGGGGGGGGGGGGGCGAACACCCCCTCTTCCCCACCCCCCCCTTCCCCCTCTTGGGCGCTGGAAAGGGGGAGGTCGACCCCCCCCCCCCTTTCCCCCCCTTTGCGCCGAACAGGGGGCCGGGGAGGGGGCCTTTCCTGCAAGGGGGGGGGGGGGGTCTGGCATCGGGATAGTGGGTAGTGAGTTAGTGAGCAGTGGGCAGTGAGTAGTGAGTAGTGAATTATGAGTAGTGAGTAGATAGTTGCGAGTAGTGAGGAATGAATAGTGAGTAGTGAGTAGTGAGTACTGCGCAGTGGGTTGTGAGTAGTGAGTAGTGGGGAGTGGGGAGTGGGTAGAGATCAGGTCGTAGCGAGTAGGGAATAGCGAGCGAGTAGTGAGTAGTGAGTAGCGAGAAGGGCAGTGTAAGCAGTGCATAGTGAGGGGGGGGAGTAGACAGTAGTGAGTAGTGAGTAAACAGTAGTGAGTAGCGAGTAAGGAGTAGCGAGTAGTGAGTAGCGAGTAGTGAGTAGTGAGTAGGGAGTAGTGAGTAGTGAGTAGTGAGAAGTGAGAAGCAGGTACTGAATAGTGGGTAGTGCGTCGGGAGTAGCGAGCCGAGAGTAGTGATAGTGAGTCATGAGTTGTGAGTACTGAGTAGTGAGTAGTGACTTGTGACTAGTGACTAGTGAGTAGGGGGTAGGGAGTAGTGAGTCGTGAGAAGTGAGTAGTGCGTAGTTGGTAGCAAATATTGCGTATCGGGTAGCGAGTAGTGGGTCGTGAGTAGTGAGCAGTGAGTAATGTGTAAAAAGTAGGGAGTAGCGAGCAGCGGATAGTGAGTATTGAGTTGTGGGCAGTGAGTACTGAGTAGTGAAATAATTGTGCGTAGTCAGTAGTGAGTGGTGGATCGTGGTTAGGGCGTAGTGAGTGGTGATTAGTGAGCTAGTGAGTAGCGAGTAGTGAGTAGTGTATAGTGAGTATTGACTATTGAGTAGTGGGTAGTGAATAGTGAGTAGGGAGTAGTGAGTTGGGAGTACTGAGTAGTGAGTAGTGAGTAGTGAGGAGTGGGTATTGGGTATTGGGTAGTGGGTAGTGAATAGTGAGTTGTTAGTAGCGAGCAGTGAGAAGGGAGTAGTGAGTAGCGAGAAGTGAGTAGTGGGTAGTGAGTAGTGAATAATGAGTACTGAGTACTGTTTGGGGCTAGGGTTAGGGTTTGGGGTTAGGGTTACGGGTGGTCGGGGTGGTGGTGTTAGGGGTGGTAGGGGTCGGGTTCGGGAGCCAGGGGGCGCCGTGGCGAAAGGGGGGAGGGGGAGGGGGTCGAATTTGGCGGCCAAAGTGGGGGAGGGGGGGCGGGGGTCCGGAGCCCCCCTCTCTCTTTTTTGAAAGGGGGGGTGGGGGCTCTCCGACGACGGACCGGGAAAGGGAGGGAGGGGGGGGGGTCCCCGACGACGAGCCGGGAAAGGGGGGGAGGGGGGGGTCCCCGACGACGGATCGGGGAAAGGGGGGGGGAGGGGTTCCTACCCCCCTCCCATTTTGGGGACATCCAGCGGCTCGCCCTCAAAGTTACGACAGGCATTGGGTAGGCACTCCAGGAAGCTGTTTCTTCACGGGCCCTCTTTCCAGGCTACTACTACGGTTGCGAGGTGCATGGGGTCTCTGATTACGAGCGGGGCATTGCCCAGCGTGTTTTCGGCCGTTGCATCAGGCCCAAGGCAGGCCCCCCCCGTTCGCTCACCTCGGCCGCGGTGCTCGACAGGGACCCCACCTACTACGGGCCCAGAGCCCTCATCCCCAGGTACTCCAAAGAGCTTTGGGGGGCCCGCATGCGTTCTTTCGATTTCACGCTTTCATGGCAGGAGCTCCGCTTGGCATGGCAGGCTGTGCGTTTAGGCATTGGGCCCGACAACTGAAAGCAGGTCGACGGCCCCATCGGTGCCATGAAGCCCAGGTTGCGCAGGATAGGTTGGGCGATGCCGAACTTCACTGTCATGACGGATCAATTTGGCATCGAATTGCCGCTCACGCTTGCGAGCCCCGCCCTGTTGAAGAGGCACGTGCGTCGAGCAACAGTTCACTTGCGTGAGTGCCGTGCAGCTTCCAAGCTGCTCTCTTCCCATCCTCAGCCTGTTCGGGTCTGCCATGACCAGGCCCATGCTAAGTTGCAGGCTAAGGAGCCCACGGCCGTCTAGAGCCGATCCATTATGTATGTTGAACGGCGGCGTGGTGCAAGACCCGAGCTGGAGCTGCTGGATATCTATGTGACGATTCTTTTTGCGAATTTCGCGGCAGGACTGACGACGCCGTCCTCCATCGCTTGTAGCATTGCCCCGCATGCGAGGAGATTCGCATCGAGGTCCTCGGCAGAGGCGCTGATTCGATCCCATCCTCAGGCCTCGCGGAAGAAAATGATCCCGAGGAGCACATAATGTGAATGCGTGGTCTGCATGTACATCCAGGAGATTACCTTCCGCGACCCGCCGACGAGATCGAGATCGATGGTTATGTTTCTGGTTTGCTGGTTTCGCAAACGGGGGGCCCTGCCAACCGCGACGTCGTCCGCCACGGTGGGCTCTACGTTGGCGGCTCGTGTTTCAGAAGCGTTTCTCTCGAGCTCTGCAGGGCGGGGCGGGCGGTGGCCAGCGCTCCTGAACAGAACGAGGTACTGTGTGCTTTGTCTGGCTCCCTCCTCGCACATCCCCCCCCCCAGGCCTCGCAGGCTGCGGAGTCTGCGGCCTGCTGCACGGCCTCTCATCGTGGCCGACCTGGCAGTCGCATGTCCAGTGACTGCCCGGACGCGGTCAAAGCTGCGCTCGAGCCCACCCAGTCTCGGCTCTCCTTTCGCCGCCCGCATGTTGGTTGCATGCTCCAAGCGATGGGGCCAATGGCCAGTGCGGTTTCTAAGGCCAAGGGCCGCGCGCCAGACAGCCCTGACCTTCCCCCCGAGGCTCGCGCCCACAGGATGGGCAACGATGCTGCTGACCAGGCTGCTCGCCCCGCCGCCGCCGGACGCCCGAATCCTGCGCCGATTGCGAGGCCGATCGCGCGGCCCGTGCCGAGCGCATCTCTCGTTCTGTACTTGGCATCGCTCGGACGTGTGCAGTCTTCCTTCGGCGAGGACCATCGAGGAGCATCCTTGATCGTTTGGCGAAAAAACCAAGCACGAAACTGAAAAAAACACAGGGAATGAACGTCCGAGCGATGGCGAGGCAAGCTGGCAGCCCGCACCACGCCCGCGTGGCCCAGGTTGGACCTTTCCTGGGCCCCCTGGGCCAAACCTCCCTCCACTCCCAGTCCCCTCGCAAGAAGTGGTTCGGCCTTCCCTCTAGCGACAGATGGCGGCCAGCTCCCCGAGCTGGCGTCAAGCACGCCAGTTCGTTGCCCTTGGACTGGCGTCCTCGTTGTGCTCGCCGTTTCCGCGGCACCGTGACACTGGCTGTTGCTCTTTCCCTTTCCCGCTCTGTCTCGTCCTTGCCCATTTTTCGGCATTAGTTACCCCACGGCTGCTGCGATGTCGGTGTGGGGGGCAGGTTGGTGGCGAAAGTGGCAGCGGATGAAATAGACCGCGAGCGCCACCCAGCCTTGCTCTCCCAGTGCGGCTGGTGGCGACAGTGGCAGAGGATGAAACAGACCTCGAGCGCCACCCAGTCCGCTTAACCAGGCAGGCTCTCTCAAAATACATGGTCTCATCCAGCCTCTTTGTGCTGGATCTCCTCTTGGAGGAGGCGTCGCCCTGCCAGAGCGCGTGAAGTCTTGGCAGCCGTGGTTGATGTTGGAAATCCCCCTCCTCCTCCTCCTCCTCCTCCTCCTCCTCCTCCTCCTCCTCCTCCTCCTCCTCCTCCTCCTCCTCCGCCTCCCCGAGGCCCAGGGGCGCGGCGGCGGCGCGGCGGGCGAGGGCAGGGGGAGCGCCGCGCGGGGCGGGCCGAGGCTCGAGCGGAACGCCGACGACCTCCGGGGCGAGGTCCTGCAGGTGGCGCTGTGGCGCGGGCCTCGGCGCGGCGGCGGGGCGGCGGCGCACGGGGCGGCGCCACGCGCAGGCCGAACACGACGACGGCGACGGCGACGACGGCGACGGCGACGACGACGGCGGCGACGACGGCGACGGCGACGACGGCGACGACGACGACGACGACGGCGACGACGACGACGACGACCCGCCCGCGGACGCGACACGGGCGACCGCGCGCGCGCCGTGCGGGGCCCGGGAGAGTAGAGCACGCGCCGTGCCCGCGGGGGCGGCCCAGCTTCGGGAGGCCCGGAGGCGAGGAGCCCGAAGGAGCACATCGGGGGCGGCAAAGAGGGGGGTGGTGACTACGGGGGGGTGGACTTCATGGCGCGGGCCATGATGTTTCCCCAGATCTCATGGCGCCCCTTCTTATTTCATTGCTTCCCTGGTCCCCCCGCTGGGCCGCGCACATGCCGCTGGTCATGATTGATGTGCACCCCCCCCCCTCTTGGACGCCCCCCTCTTGGCCGCTCCCGAGTATAGGGGGAGGAGCGGGAGGGGGAGGGGGGGGGGGGGGGAAGGTCGAGCGGAGCCATCGTGGGGCTGGTCCGCCGTCAGGTTGCGCGCCCGGCTGCGCGGTGAGCGACCCGGGCAGGGCCTCCGCCTGCGGCTGCGCTCGGAGGGGGCCCGGAGAAGGCGGAGGAGGAGGAGGGGGAGGGGAAGGAGGAGGAGGGGGGAAGCAGGAGGCTGGCTGGGAAGAGGGCAATCAAGCATTCCGAGGACGCCCACCCAGACAAGCCGACTCAGGAAATCTGCACGCGCTCACTCGGCAGTGGCATTCGCGTGCGCGGGCGCAGCCCCAAGTCGACTTGGCGAGGCGAAGTGCGTCTCGCCGGATACATCCGAGTGTTTTCGAACGTCGAATAGCTGCCCCGCTGGGGTCCTCTCGGATTTCGGTGCCGCGTGCACGTGAAGTGCCCCCCGTGCGCATGTGGAGGGCGTTTTGCTCAAGGGTGCCTTGTCGATCTGCGAGAACGAGGAGGAGGAGGAGGAGGAGGAGGAGGAGGAGGAGGAGGAGGAGAATCCACAGGGGCGGGCGCAGCGTCGATGCAGGAGGCACGCGCGTGGACCTGCAAGTCTCGCCGCAATTCACGCGACGCCGAGTCCTCCTCTCCTCCTCATCTTCTCATCCCCCTCCCTGAGTGTGGTGTCGTTTGCCCAGCCGACAGCTTGGCAGGTTGGCTGTTGCGGCGCCGCCGGGCTGCTGTCGAGTGCAGCCGTGCCCGCGCCGAACAAATGCCCGCATTGTTATCCCTCCCCAGCGGTTGATATGCGATGTGCGTGACAGCCGCTTTGGGCTACCACGCTGCCCGCTCTCCCCCTCTTCGTCCTCGTCCTCCTCTTCCCCTCCGGACCCTCGGCCTCCTTGCGGAGGAACCGTTTAGATGCGGGGGCCTAGCAGTGACGGTGGAGGTGAGCAGGAGGAAGCTTGCAGCAGTCATGATGGCAGCTCGAGCAGCAGCCGTAGTAGCAGCAGCTAGGCGATGTGGACTGACCTGTTTGGGCACGCCTCCTCCTCCTCCTCCTCCTCCTCCTCCTCCTCCTCCTCCTGTTCTCCTCCTCCCTGAGCGTGGTGACGTTTCCCCTGCCGGCCACTCTTGCGCACTGCCGCCATCGAGCTGCAGCCTGGCACGAGCCCGCGTCCGTCCTCGCTGCCAGGGGGCGGCAGCGGCTCGTCGACCGGAGCGGATGGAGCCCCCACGAGGGGAAGCGGGTCTGATGTTCGGTCTTATGTTGCGCCCATCGTATTGAAGGACAATGTTTCAGCATTCATTTCGAGCACCCATTCATTTCGAGCACCCATTCATCTAAACAGCGTATGCCCGACACGCTAGCGAAGTGTCGAGCGAGTATCGCCTTCCAGGGCCCGACACGTGAAAACCCTACAGGTTCGGTACCTCGTTGATGCTCGATTTGTTCCTGGTGTCCAAGGCTCAAGTAGGTTGAACATCTCAGGCTCGGTCAAATAACGTTTGCCCATGAATGGACTTCGTGTGTTTGTGTTCTGCGGGCTTGGGGGAAATAACACATGAGCGCGACACCGCCTGGTGGCTTTTCACACTTCGTCATCGTCGAGTGGCCCCTTCGAACTTGAGAGGCGTATTGGGTGCTCATGGTTGCGCGGCTCGTTCAAAGTTGAAGGGCGCGCTGGACCGCTCCTCTGAATGCCTCCCCGCCCAAGCACCTCGACGCGCTGGCTTCAGATTTGGGAGGCGGGGGCAAGCTCCTCGCGGCGCGACTTCAACCTTGCTTCGTTGGATTGTGGCGAGACCTGTAGGGGGAGGGGGCGTGATTCCAGGAGGTGCTAAGTGTTGCCCTCGGAGCTCTCCAGGGTCGAGGGGGAAGGTCTTAACTAATTGATTTGTTCGGCCCCTGCTGGGCCGGCCTCCTGGGGCCAGCGGGGACCGCATGGGGGTCAGCATTCGAGGCGGCAGCAGAAGTTTCCACCGGGAGGTCATCTTGCAGCTGCAGCACCAGTGGCGTCTACAGGGTTTTTCTTTGGGTCCTCGTCGTCATCGTCTCCCTCCTCCGCATCGGCCGCTGTTTGGGCGCAAGCCGTGCGGCGCAGGCCACATGTCCTCATGGTCAAAGTCCTTTGGAGGTGGCGCCACGCAGCATGAGCGGCATGTGCGAACCGGTGCAGCGCGCGGGGGCTGCCGGGGACGCCCTGATGGACGTGCGCTCCCGTGGATCGCGGAACCACCACAGGGGCCAGTGCACCCCCTGCTGCTTCGTGGGCATCGGCGAGCCGTGCCCCCGCGGGGGGGACTGCGACTGCTGCCACTATCACCACGGCCTCAAGGGGCAACGTCAGGGGGGGTTAGGTTCAGGGTGGGGCGCATCGACACCCAATCGTCCACTCATTGCCGAGAGGGGCCTGGTCATCAGCACACCCCGCCCAGGAACGTTTGGAATTGTTATCCGGGGCCTATCGCCGATCTATGGGCAATGTGTCGCCGGTTCCAGGTCGATGCCCCCCGCTCCCCTGAGACCTCAACGCCGTGGATCAACGAGATCGCGTTTAGTGCCAGAACACCATTCCTGGGACTTCAACGCCGCAGATCAACATGACTGTTGCGTCTGGGCCTGCCAGAACACCGTCACCAGGACTTAAACACCACGAGTTGATTCGACTGTTGCGTCCTGACAATTTTTAATCCTACCGGAACACCATTCCTGGCACTTCGGCCATGCGAATCCTTGAAAATGGTGTAAGCTGTTAAGACGAAAGCGCGCGGCGCTAAGGCGAGAGTCACATTTTGAAAGGGGCCGCCCTCCGTCTTTGAAAGAGTGTGTTCTGCCGCTGCTGGCAGAAAACCAGGGGGGGCCACCGGGAGGGTCCAACCCGTCGCCGGCCCCCCTCGAAAACCGGGGGAGGGTCACTGGAGGTTTCCAACCCTCCCCCCCTCCCCCCTGGTTCATCATGAAACGGAGGGGGCCACTACGGGTTCGAACCCCCCACCCCCCTCGCCGCCGGCAAACAATTCCCCCTCCTCCCCCATTCCAGACAGTGGGACACCAGTGGGAACAGTGGGGACATTGGGACAGTGGTGGGGACAGTGGGGACAGTGGGACAATGGTGGAGACAGTGCGACATCGGTGGGGGCACTGGTGGGGACAGTAGTGGGGACAGTGGGACAGTGGGATGGGGACGGTGGTGGTGTGGACAGTGGTGAGGGGACAGTGGGATAGTGGTGAGGGGACAGTGGGGACAGCAGGACAGTGGTGGGGACAATGGTGATGGAGATAGTGGTAAGGGCGGTAGTGAGGACGGTGGTGGGACAATGGAACAGTGGTGCAGTGGGGAGAGTGGTGGGGACAGTGGGGACAGTGGGACAGTGGTGGGAACAGTGGGGACAGTGGGACAACGCAGCGGGACAGCGGTGGAGACGTGGGGACAGTAGGACAGTGGTGGGGACAGTAGGGACAGTGGAACAGTGGTGGGGACAGTGGGGAGAGTGGGACCGTGGTGGGGACAGTGGTGGGGACAGTGGTGGGGACAATGCGACAATAGTGGAGACACTGGTGGGGACAGTGGGGACAGTGGTGGGAATAGTGGGGACATAGTGGGGACAGTGGGACAGTGGTGGGGACAGCGGGACAGTGGTGGGGACGGCGGTTGTGGGGACAGTGGTGAGGGAACAGTGGGACAGTGGTGGGGACAATCGGGACAGTGGAACAGTGGTGGGGACGGCAGTGGTTGGGACAATGGTGAGGGCGGTGGTGAGGACGGTGGTGGGACAATGGGACAGTGGTGCAGTGGGGACAGTGGTGGGGACTGGAAAAGTGGCGGGAAGAGTGGGGACTGGAACAGCGGCGGGGACAGTGGGGACAGTGGGACAGTGCTGGGGACAGTGGCACAGTGGCGGGGACAATGGGGACAGTGGGGAGAGTGGGACCGTGGTGGGGACCGTGGTGGGGGCAGTGGGGACAGTGCGACAGTGTTGGGGGAACTGGTGGGGACAGAGGGGACAGTAGTGGGAACAACAGGAACAGAGGGACAGTGGTGGGGACAGTGGGGACAGTGGGACAGTGGTTGGAGGGACGGTGGTGGTGGGGACGGTGTTGAGGGTGGTGGTGAGGACGGTGGCGGGGACCCCGGAGTCGTTTGCCGGCGGCGAGTAGGGGGGGGAGGGGAGGAGGGGGGAGGGGGGTGGGGGTTCTAATCCGTAGTGCCCTTCCGGTTTTTGAGGGGGGGTTCGAACTGGTGGTGACCCCACTGGTTTTCCGGAGGGGTGGGGTGGGTGGGTGGGGAGGGGGGGTTGTCCCAGGAAGGGGTGGGGGTGGGGGTTCGAGCAGGGGGGGGGGGGGATTTTCGGTGGGAGCGGGGGTGGGCAGCGCTACAGAGGAGGAGGCGGGGGAATTTTCCACAGCAGAGCGGCAGTATGTCACGCTCTCTCCCATCTTTGAAGCTGATGCAAATTTGTAAGTCCCACGTGCGCGGCACCAAGGCGAGAGCCACATGTTGAAAAGGAGCCGCCTTCCATCGTGAAACGGTTTCACACTTTTTAAGCGAATGCGCGCGGCCCTAAGGCGATAACTACATGTTGAAAACCAGTCGCTTTCTACTCGTGAAAATCTTGCAAGTTTCAAGCCTCAGGATCATGAATGACGAGGGTGTTTCAGGCGAAACCCCCGGCCCGCCCTACCGACACGCCTCGGTGTGCGACAGGGAAGAGTCATCTATAAGGAAAAGGAATGGTGGAGGAGGTGGACGCAGGTTGGAAGGGGACAACTCAGGCTCGCGACGTCCTGATTTGTTGAGTGCGGGGTCCCTGGAAGTCCCGACCCTTTCCCCAGGACCGTTTTTCGTTCATCCTGATCCGTTTTCGACAGTTCCGGGGCCCAGCGAGTCACTGGAGACAGAGGATGGCGAAAAACCTTCCGTCCTGATTATTATTACGACGCGAGCATGTTTGGGAACGCCACCCCCCCCCCAGGCCCAGAGAAGTTCCTCAGCATGCGAGCGCACCATGCCGCGGCGCTGCAGCTGCGTTGCCTGCGGCAGGCGACGACGAGGACGACGACGACGACGACGACGAGGACCGCGACGACGACCGCGACGACGACCGCGACGACGACCACGACGACGACCGCGACGACGACCACGACGACGACCGCGACGACGACGACGACGACGACGACGACGACGACGACGACGACGACGACGACAACAACGGCAGGCCGCGGCCGCGGGCGGCGGCAGGTCGGGGCCGCGGGGGCGCGCCGGCGGGGGCGGCCAGGTCGAGGCGCGGCGCCGCGCCTCCGCAGTGGCCTCCGCGCCGCCCGACCCCGGCGCCGCGCGGCCGCTGTCGCTGGCCGCCGCGCTGGCCCTCCGAGGGCAAGCCAACACCTCGGGAGGAAAACGCGACTTCCCGATGCGATGCTGACCGATCCTGCAGGCAACGTGAGGGGGGAGGGTGACAGGTTCAGGGGGGGGCACATGATCCCCCAATCGCCCATTGGTCGCCGATGGGGGCCCGATGGCCCGTTGCGCCCAGGACCGCGCGGAGCTGCCGACCCACCAGCGATGCATCGCCGATTCCAGGTCGATGCCTCCCCCTCGGAGCCGATCCCCCTCCCCGAGCGTTGCCCCTCAGGCTTCAGGAGGAGAAGAAGCATACAGACACAATGAATCCTCGCTTCCCCCGAAAGTATGGGAAAATGTGGGAAGTGGGGGGGGAAGACAGACACCCAGAAAAGATATGGGAAAATATGGGGAATATTTCTATATTTGCGTGTATTTATTTGTGTGTCCTGGGGCCCCTTCAAACACCGCCCACCAAACCACCCCGACCTAACCCGAATGCCTCCATGTGCCCTCCATTGTCAGGCCGGCCACAATTGGGGGAGCCGTGGTCCTTACCTTCCTGGGGAACCCATCGATTTCGACACCCCTCTCGAGAGATCGTCGAGGCGATGGGTTCCCCCAGGGGGGTAAGGACCACAGCTCCCCCAGTTATGGCTGGTCGGATTTTCAGTGGGGGGGGTCGGGGAACAATGAGGAAACACATACGGAGCCCGTACCCCCCCAAACCCGAAATTTGGGTCTTCGGGTCAGGTTTAGGTCGGGCCTGTCCCTCTACAGCAGGGACATTCAAACATAGACCCCCAAAAAATACGGGGACGAAATTTTGCCCAGTTTTATTTTTTGGGGAGGTATTTGCTGGGGGATTTGTTAGTTTTCGTAGAAAATCCACCTGTAGGGGGACACGCCCGACCTAAGGGTGGGTTGGGGTGGTCTGGTAGGTGGTCAGAGTAAATATCCCAAACCCCCTCGGGCCTTGAAAAGTCCACGGCGGGAGGCACTGCACTGATTTCGGCCTCCGGGCAAGGGAGGCGAGACCACCCGGCCCCGATGACTGGCGTTTGCTCAGTGGCCCTGAGCGTTCACTAATCAGGAGGGGAAAAAACACACAGACACAATTAATCGTCGATCCCTAAGAAAATATTGGAAAATATGGGAAGTGGGGGGGAAGACATAAACCCAGAAAATATTGGAAAATATGGGGGATTCTTTTATTTGTGTGTATTTATTTGTGCGTCCCAGGGCTCCTTCAACTAAACAGCCCTGCCCTGTTCGATTCCTGCTCCGGGTGCGCTTACTGCACGGCTCCGCGTGTCGGGGTGATTACCATGAGGGTGGGTTTTCTGCTGGGGCCCTCGCCGGGCCCGGGGGCCGTCAAGAAAAACTGCGGAAGATGAAAAGCCGGCCCCTGGGAAGGGGTCGAGACTTCCGGAGACCGCGTGAGGAGGAGGAGGAGGAGGAGGAGGAGGAGGAGGAGGAGGAGGAGGAGGAGGAGCCGAGAGATCCGACGTCATGATTTTTTCCATATACGGGGACCCCGGAAGTCTCGACCCATTCCCCAGGACCGGTTTTTTACCCTGAGTCGAATTTTGACGGTCCCGAGGCCCAGCGAGGGCCCCAATAGAGCAGAACTGTGCGAAACCAGTCCGTCCTGATTTTTTCACTACGTTGGATCCCTGGGAGGAGGAGGAGGAAGAGGAGGAGGAGGAGGAGGAGGAGGAGGAGGAGGAGGAGGGAGGAGGAGGGAGGAGGAGGAGGAGGAGGAGGAGGAGGGAGGAGGGGAGGAGGAGGAGGAGGAAAAAGCAGGACGTCGCACACGTCTGCGATGTCAGTACACCCCTGCGCCGGTGCCGGGCCCTGGGGGGCGGGGTCTATAGATGCCGCCCCCTGCCCGAGCCGGGAGTGGCGCGCTGTGTGCCACCGGGCGTGCGGCGCCCTGGCTTGTCAGCGCGGGGCCCCCAGAGCGCAGAGCGTCCTCGAGGGCGCGAAGTTCTTCGCGCTTCGCGCTTCGGCTCCGATTCCTCCTGGGGGGCGGGGAAGATGCCGCCCCCTGCCCGAGCCGGGAGGGCGCGCTGTGTACCCCCGGGCGTGCGGCGCCCTGGCTTTTCAGCGCGGGGCCCCCAGGACGCAGAGCGTCTTGGGCTGCTCGTTGAGCGGCCGCTGCGCTCGAGGTGTCTTCCAGCCCCGCTGGCTCTCCGAAGTCCCCTCGACGGGTGCGACCCCCAGTTGGTTGTAGCTGCGCGGGTTACCACACGAGCGCGGACCAGAATTCGACCGAAAACCGAACGGCACCACTTCACAAGGGCGCCCTCGAGGGCGCGAAGTTATTCGCGCTTCGCGGTTCGGCTCCGATTCCTCCTCTTCCTCCTCTTCTCCCCTGGGAGGCGGCGCGAGAGCGCGAAGTTTTTCGCGCAGCGCGAAGCGCGAAGCTGGGAGCCGTTGCAGAAGTACCGGCCCTCCCACGATGACGCTGACGAGCTGACGATGTTGCTGGTGACGGTGATGCTGATGGTGTTGGTGATGCTGCTGACGATGTTCATGGTGAAGGTGATGACGCTGACGATGCTGGTGGTGATGCTGATGATGTTGATTACCCAGACGTGCGACGTCCTGATTTTGTCAGCACCAGGTCACCACAAGTCCCGACACTTCCCTGGGACCGTGTATTTTAATCCCGAGTCGTTCTGTGACGGCCCTGGGGTCCGCGCGGAGGCCGAACAGGGCCAAAACATGTCCAGCCGTGTTTTTAGCGACGCGATCATGTTTGGGGAGCCTGGCCAGGTCGGTGTAGGTGTATAGCTCGACTAGACGCAAGAGTGACCTTTGGTGCGGGCCCCACGGGGTCCCCCGATCCCTAAGCGCGAAACGATGGCAGCGGCTTGCGCGCCCAGGTTTGGCCATCCCGCGTCCCCCGTGAATAGGGGAACAAAAAGTGACATAAACATAAAAATTCGGAGGTCCGCGCGGATTTCTCGAATCGGCGCTGGGGCCCCCCTCCCTGGCGCGCGGAGCGCGCCAGGGGCGGCGCCGGAGGCGCCAGGGAGGGGGGGCCCCAGCGCCGATCCGAGAAATCCGCGCGGACCTCCGAGTTTTTATGTTCATGCCACTTTTTGTTCCCCTAGTGAAGTCGCGCAGCAGAGGTCGCTCCCGCCTCGGGCCGTGTGGCCGAATAGCCGGCGTCCTCCCAGGCTCAGGAGGGGAAAAGACACACAGGCACAATTCACCGTCGACCCCCAGGAAAACATGGGAAAACAGGGGAAGGGGGGGGGAAGACAGAAACCCAGAAAGTATGGAAAAATGTGGGGAATCCTCTTGTTTGTGTGTATCTATCTGTGTGTCCCTGGGCCCCCCTCCCCAGGCCCTGCCGGCAGGCCCAGCGCCGCCGGCGGGGGGCGCGGCCGGTCCGCCGGCTGGCGGCGCCGGCTCGTCCCGCGCGGCCGCGCCGGAGGCTCACGGCGAGCCATGGCCGGAGGCCGTCGTCGGCTCTCGGCGGTCTGTCGATATAGCGACGTGTTCGCGTCGGGAAAGACTCGCGACGGGAGGTCTTTGGCCGTTTTCAGCCGTCCCGCTGGGCCGCGCCGGAGGCTCCCGGAGAGCCATGGCCGGCGGTATTGTCGTCGGCTCTCGGCGGTCTGTCGATATAGCGACGTGCTCGCGTCGGGAAAGACTCGCGACGGGAGGCCTTTGACCGTTTTCAGCCTCGGGGGGTTTTCGCCGGGCCCCGGGACCGTCGACAAGCGATTCGGGGTGAGCCGGTCCCGCTCGGCCGCGCCGGAGGCTCCCGGAGAGCCATGGCCGGAGGCCGTCGTCGGCTCTCGGCGGTCTGTCGATATATCGACGGGCTCGCGTCGCAAAAGACTCGCGACGGGAGGTCTTTGGCCGTTTTCCGCCTCGGGGGGTTCTCGCCGGGCCCCGGGACCGTCAACAAGCGATTCGGGGTGAAAAGCCATGGCCGGAGGTTGTCGTCGGCTCTCGGCGGTCTGTCGAGTAGCGACGTGTTCGCGTCGGACAATAGGGGGCCACACGCGAGCCCTACCCCTACCCTTCACGATTTCCGAGGGGGAGGGTGGGGTTCACACTTCGTGCGGGAGCTCCCGAGCGAAGCGAACCCCACCCTGCGCCTCGGAAATCGTGGGGGGTAGGGCTCGCGTGTGGCCCGCTAGAAAAGACTCGCGACGGGAGATTTTTGGCCGTTTTCAGCCTTGAGGAGGTTCTCGCCGGGCCCCGGGACCGTCAGCAAGCGATTCGGGGTGAGCCGGTCCCGCTCGGCCGCGCCGGAGGCTCCCGGAGAGCCATGGCCGGAGGCTGTCGTCGGCTCTCGGCGGTCTGTCGAGTAGCGACGCGTTCGCGTCGGAAAATAGGGGGCCACACGCGAGCCCTACCCCCACCCCCCACGATTTCCGAGGGGGAGGGCGGGGTTCACACTTCGTGCGGGAGCTCCCGAGCGAAGCGAACCCCACCCTGCCCCTCGGAAATCGTGGGGGGTGGGGGTAGGGCTCGCGTGTGGCCCCCTAGAAAAGACTCGCGACGGGAGATTTTTGGCCGTTTTCAGCCTTGAGGAGGTTCTCGCCGGGCCCCGGGACCGTCAGCAAGCGATTCGGGGTGAAAAGCCGGTCCCGTGGAAAGTGTCGGGACTCCGCGACTTGAGAAAATCAGGACGTCGCATGTTTGGATACCCAGCCCGCGGCGAGCGAGGGGGGGGGGGGAAGTGAGAAGGAGAAGGCCTTCTCAGAAGGCGGCGGGACTTCTCAGAACCCCTCGCGCCTTCTAGCTAGGTGTTCGTGTCTTCTGGGCAGGCGTAGAAAACTTCTCTGAAGGCAGGGGGACTTCCGAGCCTTTTGAGAATGCCCGCCCATTCTCACTTCCCCCCCAGGCTCGCCGCCGAGAGCAGGAGATCGACTACGGAATTGATGCACCCCAAAATTATTTTTCTCGTTGAGTCTACGAGACAAATATGTAGAGTGTTCGTAGACCGTAGACCTACGAACATCCTACGTACTTTCCGTAGATTCGACGATCGAACAACTCGAGGTACATCCAGTACGCAGTCGATCTCCTACTCGAGTCTTCGAGCCTCGGGGTGCTTCCCAGCAGCTGCGCCTCGCGGAGAGCGTTCCTGGGGGGGCCTGGATCGTCCCGAACGGCCGCTGGAACGCCGAGATATGACCCGAAAACCTAGCGCCGCAGCTTTTGTCTCGCGTGCAGTCTTGTTTCGCTTCGGGCCCCGGGGGCCCTCACGGACCCATCACGGGTTCGAGCAGTACCGCAGAAAGATGGGGTCCAGGGCTCCAGTCGAGTGGTTTCACGATATTGCAATTTTTCGCGACGCCAGATCTCAGGAGGTGGAGGAAGAGGTGGAGGAGGAGGAGGGGGAGGTAAGGGGAGGAGGAGGAGGAGGAGGAGGAGGAGGAGGAGGAGGAGGAGGAGGATAAGGAGGAGGTAAGAGGAGGAGGAGGGAGGAGGAGAAAGGAGAAGGAGGAGGAGGAGGAGCAGGAGGAGGAGGAGGAGGAGGAGGGTCAGGGGAAGGAGGAGACAGGAGGGGGAGGACGGGAAAGAGGGAGCGGGAGGGACGATGAGGAGGAAGCCAGAGGAGGAGTAGGGAGGAGGAGGAGGAAGAGGAGGACAGAGGGGAAGGGAGGAGAAGGAAGAGGAGGAGGGAGGAGGAATGAGGAGAAGGAGGAGGAGGAGGAAGCCAGAGGAGGAATAGGGAGGAGGAGGAGGAGGAGGAGGAGGAGGAGGAGGAGGAGGAGGAGGAGGAGGAGGAGGGAGGGGGAGGGAGGAAAGGAGGGAGGGAGGGAGGGACGGAGGGAGGGAGGGAGGAGGAGGAGGAGGAGGAGGAGGAAGAGGATGTGGGGCCAGGGCTCCAGCTGGGCTTCGCCTCAGCGATGCTGCAGCTCTCCTGGGCGTCGGAACTCAGAGGCTGGCGCCGCGCGCCCGCTCGCGGCCTCGCTGGCAAACGACAACGACGGCGACGACGACGACGCTGACGACGACGACGACGACGGCGACGACGCCGACGCCGACAACGACTGCGGCGACGCCGACGACGCCGACGAAGCCGACGACGCCGACTACAACGCCGACGACGCCGACGACGTCGCCGACGACGCCGACGCCGCCGACGACAACGACTACGGCGACGACGACGACGACAACGACGCCGCCGCCGCCGACGACGCCGACGACGCCGCCGACGACGACGACGACGAAGGGCGAGGGCGACGGACAACGACGACCACTCCGACGACGCCGACGACGACAACGACTACGGCGACGACGACGACGACGACGACGACAACGACGACGACGACAACGACGACGCCGACGATGAAAGACGACGACGACTGCGGCGACGCCGACGACGCCGACGACCCCGACGCCGCCGCCGACGCCGACGATGACGCCGCCGACGACGCCGAGACCGCCGACGACGTCAACGACCACGGCGACGACGACTACGACGACTACAACGACCACGGCGACGCCGCCGACGACGACAACGACCACGGCGACGACGACGACGACGCTGACAACGACGACGACGACGCCGACGACGACAAAGACAACGGCGACGACGACGATGCCGACGACGCCGACGACGCCGACGACGACAACGACCACGGCGACGCCGCCGACGACGACGACACCGACCACGGCGACGACGCCGACGACACCGACAACGACGACGCCGACGACGACGACGACGACGCCGCCGCCGACGACGACGACGGGCGACGGGCGACGGACAACCCCGACGTCGCCGACGACGCCGACGACGACAACGACCACGGCGACGACAACGACGACGACGACGACGTGGCCGACGACGCCGACGCCGCCGAGTACAACGACCACGGCGACGATGACGACGACTGCGACGACGACGACGACGCCGACGATGACGCAGACGACCCCGACGACGACATCGACGACGCCGACGACGACGTCGACGACAACGACCGCGGCGAAGATGCCGACGACGACAACGACGACGCCGACGACGACGCCGACGACGACGACGACGGGCGACGGGCAACGGACAACGACGACCATGCCGACGACGACGACGACAGCGACCACGGCGACCACGGCGACGACGACGACGAGGACGCCGACGACGCCGACGACGCCGCCGACAACGACGACGGCGGCGACGACGACGACGACGACGCCGACGACGCCGACGACGCCGACCACGACGCCGACGACGCCGACGGCGACGTCGACGACGCCGTCGCCGACGACGACGACGCCGACGATACTGACGACGCCGACGACGCCGACGACGCCAACGATGCCGATGGCGACGCTCACACGGAGGCCGCCGCCGACGACGACGACGAGACGACGCCGACGGCGACGACGCTGACGACGACTCCGCCGACGACGACGACGGGAGAGGTGCGACGGTCCGCAGATAACAACGACGACGCCGACAACGACAACGACGGCGACGCGGACGACAACGATGCCGCCGACGACGACGACGACGACGTTCGTTGGGCGACAGCCAACGACGACGGCGCCGACGGCGACGCCGACGCCAACGACGACGCCGCCGCCGACGCCGATGATGTCGACGACGACAACACTGACCACGGCGACGACGACGACGCCGACGCCGCCAACGACGTCGACGACGACGCCGACGACGCCGACGACGCCGACGACGACGCCGCCGACGACGACGACGACGACAGCGACGACGACGCCGACGCCGCCGACGACAACGACTACGGCGACGGCAACGACAACGCCGCCGACGACGGCGACGGGCGACGGGCGACTGGCGACGGACAACGACGACCACGCCGACGACGCCGCCGACGGCGACGACGACGACGACAACGGCGACGACGCCGATGACGCCGCCGACGACGACGACGACGCTGCCGACGACGCCGACGGCGACGACGACGACGCCGACGACGCCGACGATGCCGACGATGCCAACGACGCCGACGACGTCGCCGACGTTTCCGACGCCGCCGATGCCGCCGACGACGACGACGACGACGACGGCGCCACCGACGACGACGACGCCGACGACGCCGACGACGCCGCCGCCGCCGACGACGACGATGACGGGCAACGGGCGATGGTCGACGGGCGAGGGACGCCGACGACGACGCCGACGACGCCGACGACGACGCCGACGACGCCGACGACGCCAACGATGACGAGGTTGACGACGCCGACGACGACGACGACGACGACGATCACGACGCCGACGACGACGACGACGACGCCGACGACGACGACGATGCCGACGATGACGACGCCGCCGACGACGACGACGCCGCCGACGACGACGCCGTCGACGCCGCCGTCGACGATGATAACGCCGACGACGCCGACTTCGAAGACGACGACGTCGCCGACGAGGCCGATGACGGTGCCGACGACGACGACGGCGCCGACATCGACGGCGCCGCCGACGACGACAATGACGCCGACGACGACGACGCCGACGCCGCCAACAACGTCGACGACGACACCGACGACGCCGACGACAACGACGGCGACGACGACGATAACGACACGACGACGACGCTGACAACGACGACGACGACGCCACCGACGACGCCGACAACGCCGACGCCGTCGACGACGACGCCGACGACGCCGACGACGACGCCGACAACGACGACAACGACGCCGCCGTTGACGCCGCCGACGACGACGACGACGCTGACGACGCCGCCGACGACGACGAAGACGACAGCGACGACGACGCCGACGACGACGACGCCGCCGCCGACGACGACACCGCCGCCGCCGCCGACGACGACGACGATGACGCTGGCGACGACGACGATGCCGACGATGCCGACGACGACGACGCCGACGACGACGGCGCCTCCGACGATTCCGACGACGACAACCCCGCTGCCGACGACGACGACGGGCGACGGGCGACAGACAACGACGACCACGCCGACGACGCCGACGACGGCAACGACCACGGCGACGACGCCGACACCGACGACGACGACGACGCCGCTGCCGACGACGACGGGCGACGTGCGACAGACAACGACGATTACGCCGACGACGACCACGGCGACGCCGACGACGCCGACACCGACGACGACGACGACGCCGCTGCCGACGACGACGACGGGCGACGTGCGACAGACAACGACGACCACGCCGACGACGCCGACGACGGCAACGACCACGGCGACGATGGCGACGAACACGACGACGACGCTGACGGCGCCGACGACGACAGCGACGATGCCGACAACGCCGACGACGATTACGCCGACGACGCCGACGACGCCGACGACGACGGCGACGACGACGCCGCCGACGACGAAGACGACGACGCCAACGCCGACCACGACGACTACGACGACGACGATGGGCGACTGGCGACGGGCGACGGACAACGACGACGACGCCGACGCTGACGACGCCGACGACCACGACAGCGACGGCGACAGCGACGGCGACGACGACGCCAGCGCTGCCGACGACGCCGCCGTTGACGACGCCGACGACGACGACGCCGACGACAACGACGCCGACGCCGACGACACCGAAGCCGACGACCACAACGACGACGACGATGCCGACGACGACGACCATGACGACGACGGCGGCGACGACGATGCCGACGACGACGACGACGACGGCGACGACTACGACGACGACGACGACGACGACGACGACGACGACGACGCCGACGACTGCGACGACACCGACGACAACCACGACGATGCCGACGACGACGACGCCTACGACGACGACGATGACGACGACGACGACGCCGACGACGCTGCCGCCGCCGCCGACGACGACGACGACGATGGGCGATAGGCGTCGGACAACGACGACGACGCCGACGACGACGACGCCGCCGACCTTTGATGACAACGCCGACGACGACGCCGACGACGACGACGACGACGGCGCCGACGACGACGACGCCGCCGACGGCAGCACCGACGACGACGCCGACGACGACGACAACGCTGACGATGCCGACGACGACGACATTGCCGATGACGCCGACGACGACGAGGCCGATGACGACGACGATGCCGACGACGACGTCGCCGCCGCCGACGACGACGACGCCGGGGCCGCCGACGACGACGGCGCCGACGACGCCCACGTCGATGCCGCCGACGACGACGTCGACGACGACGACGCAGCCGACGCCGCTTGCACCGACGACGCCGCCGACGCCGACGACGACGACGCCGACGACGCCGACGACAACGACGACGCCGATGACGCCGACGACGACGAGGCCGACGACGACGACGACGATGCCAACGACGACGACGACGACGACGCCGACGACGACGACGCCGGGGCCGCCGACGACGGCGACGCCGATGACGCCGACGACGACGAGGCCGCCGACGACGACGACGATGCCAACGACGACGACGACGACGACGCCGACGACGACGACGCCGGGGCCGCCGACGACGGCGACGCCGACGACGCCGACGACTTTGACGGCGACGCCGACGCCGACGACGCCGACGTTGTTGACGACTACGACGACGACGCCGACGCCGACGGCGACGCCGACGGCACCGCCGACGACGACGACCACCCCGACGGCGACGACGCTGCCGATCACGACGCCGACGACGACGCCAACTACGACGCCGACGACAACGACGACGACGCCGACGACGACGACGCCGTCGAGCACGACGACGACGCCGACGACGACGCCGACGACGACGACGGCGACGATGACGGCGCCGACGACGACGACGCCGACGACGCCGACCACGACGACGACGCAGCCGACGCGGACGACGACGACGACGACGCCACCGACGACGCCGACGACGACGCCGCCGACGACGACGACGCCGCTGCCGACGACGACGACGCCAACGACGCCGACGACAACGACGACGACGACAATGACGACGCCGACGAAGCCGACGACGACAACGACGACGACGCCCCCCGACGACGATTACGACGCTGCCGACGACGCCGCCGCCGACGATGGCGACGCCGACGCCGACGCCGCCGCCGACGACGACGACGGCGACGACGACGCCGCCGACGACGACGACGACGACGACCACGACGCCGCCGCCGACGACGACTCTCCCGACGCCGCTGACGACGCCGACGTCGGCGACGACGACGACGCTGCCGACGACGACGACGACGACGCCGTCGACGCCGACGACGACGCCGACGACGACGACGACGATGCCGACGACGACGACGACGACGCCGCCGACGACGACGACGAGGCCTTCGACGCCGACGACGCCGACGATGCCGACGACGACGACGCCGACGACGACGGCGCCTCCGACGACGCCGACGACGACAACGCCGCTGCCGACGACGACGACGGGCGAAGGGCGACAGGCAGCGACGACCACGCCGACGACGCCGACGACGGCAACGACCACGACGACGCCTCCGACGACGCCGACGACGACGGCGACGATGGCGACAAACACGACGACGCCGACGACGCCGCCGACGACGACGCCGACGACGACCACGACGACGACGACGCCGACGACGACGACGACGACGATGGGCGACTGGCGACGGGCGACGGACAACGACGACGACGCCGACGCTGACGACGGCAACGACGCCGACGACGCCGTCGACAACGACGACGCCGACGACGCCGTCGCTGCCGACGACGACGCCGACGACGCCGGCGAAGACGCCGACATCGACGCCGCCGACGACGACGGTGCCACTGACGACGACAACGACGACGACGTCGACGCCGACGACGCCGCCGCCGCCGACGGCGACACCGACGACGCCGACGACGACGCCGACGACGACGACGCCGCCGCCCACGACGACGACGACGACGACGACGACGGCGCCGCCGCCGCCGACGACGACGACGACTCCGTCGCCGACGGCGACGCCGACGACGACGACGACGACGCCGACGACGACGACGCCGACGACGCCGACCACGACGACGACGACGCAGCCGACGCGGACGACGACGACGACGACGACGCCACCGACTACGCCGACGACGACGCCGCCGACGACGACGACGCAGCCGACGCTAACGCAGACGACGACGACTCCGACGACGACGACGCCGACGACGACGCCGACGATCACGACGCCGACGACGACGCCAACGACGACGCCGCCGACAACGACGACCACGCCGACGACGCCGACGACGACGCCAACGACGAGCACGCTGACGACGCCGCCGACCACGATGCCGCCGACGGCGACGTCGACGACGACGACGCCACCGACGACGACGACGCCGTCGACGACGACGACGCCGACGACGACGACGCCGACGACGCCGACGACGACGACGCCGACGACGACGACGCTGCCACCGCCGACGACGTCGACGACGACAACGACGACGACGACCCCGCTGCCGTTGCCGACGACAACGCCGCCGACGACGACGACGACGCCGACGACATCGATAACGACACCGACGACGACGCCGCCGACGACGACGACAACGACGACGACGACGACGAAGCCGACAGCGACGACGACGCCGACGACGACGACGCCGCCGCCGACGACGACGCCGCCGCCGCCGACGACGACGACGAAGATGTTGCTGGCGACGACGACGACGCCGACGCTGCCGACGACGACGACGCCGCCGCCGACGACGACGCTGCCGACGACGACGACGACGAAGCCGACGACGCCGACGACCACGACGACGCCGTCGAGAAAGACCACGCCGACGCCGCCGACGACGACGACGCCGCCGACGACGCCGACGCCCACGACGAGGGTGCGCCACCCGCGGCGGCGGAGGCGACGACGCCGCCGCCGCCGACGATGACGACGACGACGCTGACGACGCCGACGACGACCACGCCACCGCGGACGACGACGCCGCCGACGACGACGATGACGACGACGACACCGCCGACGACGCCGCCGCCACCGCGGACGACGACGCCGACGACGACGCCACCCACGCCGACGACGACGGCGACGAAGGTGCCGAAGATTCCGACGGCGACGACGACGACGACGCGATGCAGACGACGCCGACGACGTGGCCGCCACCGCGGACGACGACGCCGACGACGACGCCGCCGACGACGATGCCGAAGATTCTGACGGCTACGACGACGCCGACGACGCCGACGACGACGCCGACGCCGCCGACGACGACGACGACGACGACGACGACGACGACGACGCCGACGCCGACGCCGACGCCGACGACGAAGCCGTGGCGGCGGAGGCCGCCGAGCGGGCCGGGCCGTCGGCGCTGACGACGACGACGCCGCCGACGACGTTGCGGACGACGACGACGACGACGACGACGCCGCCGACGGCGACGACGACGACGCCGCTGCCGCCGCCGACGACGACGACTCCGAAGACGACGCCGACGACGACGACGACGACGATGCCGACGACGACGACGACGACGACGACGACGACGACGCGGACGACGACGACACCGCCGCCGACGACGACGACGACGCCGACGCCCACGACGAGGATGCGCCAGCCGCGGCGGCGGAGGCCGCCGAGCAGGCCAGGCCGTCGGCGACGACGACGACGACGACAACGCCGCGGACGACGACAACGACGCCGACGACAACGACGACGCCGTTGCCGCCGCCGACGACGACGACTCCGACGACGACGACGCAACGCAGACGACGCCGACGACGACGACGACGACGCCGCCGCCGACGCCGCTGACGACGACGACTCCGAAGACGACGCCGACGACGACGCCGACGACGACGATGCCGACGACGACGCCGACGACGACGACCCCGACGACGACGACGACGACGCCGACGCTGCCGACGACGACACCAGCGACGATGACGCCCCGACGACGACGACGACGACGACGACGACGTCGACGACGACGACGACGACGACGACGACGATGCCGCCGCCGACGACGACGACGACGCCGACGCCCACGACGAGGGTGCGCCACCCGCGGCGGCGGAGGCCGCCGAGCAGGCCAGGCCGTCGGCGACGACGACGACGACGCCGACAACGACGACGACCTCGCCGCGGACGACGACGCCGCCACCGCGGACGACGACGCTGACGACGACGATGCCGACGACGACGCCGAAGATTCCGACGGCTACGACGACGACGACGCCGCGGACGACGATTCCGCCGACGCCGACGACGACGACGACGCGCTGCAGACGACGCCGACGACGACGACGACGACGACGACGACGACGACGACACCGACGACGACGCCGACGACGAATATGACGTCTCATATGACGACGCCGACGACGACGACGACGACGACGCCGCTGCCGCTGCTGCCGCCGGCGCTGCCACCGCCGACGACGACGACGCCGACGAAGACACCGACGCCGACGACCACGCCGACGCCGACGACGACGAACAGGCTGCGCCACCCGCGGCGGCAGCTGCCGCCGTGCCCGGGCCACCGAGCGGCCCGGGGCCGCATTTCGAGGCCGGGCCCGCGGGCGTCGGGGGCCCCCCACGCGGCGTGGTGGATCTCCTCCTTCTCCTCTCGTTCCTCCTCTTCCTTCTCATCATTAACCTTTTTCTCCTCCTCCTCCTCCTCCTCCTCCTCCTTCTCCTCCTCCTCCTCCTCCTCTTCCTCCCCCTCTTCCTCCTTCGTAGCCATTTTGGCTCAAGATGCTCTCGCCCATGGCAGGGCACGGAGACCCTTGGTCCAGGGCCATCGCAGGACCTATTCCTACGCCTTCCTCGTGCCCGCGAGGTCGAGCTTCATGCCACGCGCTCACTGTACCTGAGGCTGCAGTTGGCTTTCATACCACGCGCTCACTGCACCTGAGGCTGGCAAAGCCTCATCTCCCGCACTTCGGCATGAACACTCTCCAGGGCTCGGCAACAATCAACGATAAAAACAAAAACAACAATGAAAAGGCAGGGCCGCGAGCAGCTGGCGCCGCCAAACTGATCGCAAGAACTACGCGATCAACTTCAAGAACTTCTCGCTACGTTTTTCTTGGCTGGACCGCTATAGGGAAGAACTTCAAGGTCTACTTCAAGAACAAATTGACAAGGCCACCGCGGCCTTCGAGATCGCCGCCACACAGGTCACTGCGCAAATTCAAGCTCAATTCATCGAGACCATCACCAGGACCACAGCTGAACTTTATGGACGCCTAAAGAAGTGCGAACATGACGTCTCCTTGCTCAAGACGCGTGCCGATCGAACAGAACCCTCCATACAGAACTACAAGCACTGCCGCCACCCATCGCTCCAATGCCGCTGCAGAAGCTCTCCCCCCGCCCCCACCCCCCCATCGACATCAACGCATCAACGAATTGGGCAAGTGGGATCGAGCACCACATGCTGCACAGTATGGGGCGGAGTTGCGGTCGCATCGCACGCAGGCGCGCTCAAGAATGCTCTCACTGATGGTTCCAAGCAGCGGGCGTCGACATCCACTGGATGTGCCGCAACGCTTCTAGCCTTAAAAAGAGAATAGCACGCGCAATCACTGGCGGCGGCGACCTTGCTCGTCCTCGCGCGACTGCTCTACACAAAGCCCTTCGAGATGGAAAAGACTGGCGCGGATGTTCCGCCCAATCTTGCCAGGGCCCCACGCCGCTCTTCGTCTCGGAAAGTCCCAGCGAATGGTTCGACAGGATCCGAGAAATAACGGGGTCTGCGGACCCCCGTTTCCCTCAATCGAAAACGTGGTAAAGTCCAACGCGGCGCGGAAAGCGTGAAAATGTTCAGTTGTTGTGTGCCCACTCGAGGATGGTGCACCCCCCGCGCCAACAAATCGAGGATGTCTCGAGCGAAACGCTTCTTTTGCAAAACTTCAGGGCCTGGGCGCCCCAGCATGCCCCAGGAGGCCGCGGCGTAATCTACGAGGGATCGTGGCGTTTGGAGCGCGGACCACGCGTAATTTACCAGGGATCGTGGCCTTCGGAGCGCGGGCGCAGCGTAATTTACAAGGGGTCGGGGCCTTGGGAGCTCGGACGCAATATAATTTACTATGGATCGTATCCCTTGGAGCGCGGGCGCAGCGTAAAATACAACGGATCGGGGCTTTGGGGGCTCGGACGCAGCGTAATTTACGATGGATCGTGGCCCTGGGAGCGCGGACGCAGCGTAATTTACAAGGGGTCGGGGCCCTGGGAGCGCGACCTCAATGTAATTTACGAGGGTTCGTGGCCCTTGGAGTGCGGGCGCAGCGTAATTTACGGAGGGGTCGGGGCCCTGGGAGCGCGACCCCAGTGTAATCCATTAGGGATCGGGGCCTTTGGAGCGCGGGCGCAGTGTGAATTGTTGAGGTTCGTGGCCTTAGGAATGCGGACGCAGCGTAATTTATGAGGGCTCGTGACAGCTGGAGCGGGGCAAAGGTCTAGCGCCAGGATTTGTTGAGGATGTCTCGAGCGAGACGCTTGGTTTCACGCGTCCTCGTCGCCCAGGCGGATGTCTAGCATGAGGATGTGTTGAGGAAGTCTCGATCGAGATGCGTGTTTGCACGTGTCCAGGTTGCCCAGGCGGATGCCTAGCATGAGGATGTGGTGGGAATGTCTCGAGAGATACGTTTGTTTTCACGTGTCCAGGTCGCCGAGGCACTCAGCATTTCAACTTGGCACGTTCCCTTGCACGTTCCGTGGCGCGTCCTGTGGCGAGTCCCCCTGGCACGTCGTGCGGCGCGTCCCCTGGCACGTCCTGTGGCGCGTCCTCTGGCACGTTCCGTAGCGCGTCCCCTTGGCACGTCCCGCGGTGCGTCCCCATGGCACGCCCCCTGGCACGTCGCCTGGCGCGTCCCTTGGGACGTTCCGCGGCGCGTCCTCTTAGCATGTCCCCCTGTCAATCTAGCTCTGGGGAAGCTTCTATGTGCTCAGGCAGCTCGAGCTTAAGGTCCAGATCAGTTCGGTCAGGACTCGGATGCAAAGGAGGACTCGATCAACAACGCTATAGAGCACAATCGCGGCACGGCACATCGCAATTCAGCACGGCGCAGCACAGCACAGTTTTCGGCGCGGTACGTCAAGATCGATACACTCAGCATTGCAACTTGGCACGTTCCGTGGGGCGTCCCGTGGCGAGTCCCCATGGCACGTCGCGCGGCGCGTCCCCTGGCACGTCCTGTGGCACGTCCATTGGCACGTCACGTAGCGCGTCCCCTTGAAGGCACGTCCCGCGGTGCGACCCCATGGCACGTCCCCTGGCACGTCGCCTGGCGCGTCCCTTGGGACGTTTCGCGGCGCGTCCTCCTGGCATGTCTCCCTGTCAATTTAGCTCTGGGGCAGTTACTATGTGCTCAGACAGCTCGAGCTTAAGATCCAGATCAGTTCGGTCAGGACTCGGATGCAAAGGAGGACTCGATCCACGACGCTATCGAGCACAATCGCGGCATGGCACATCGCCTTTCAGCACGGTGCAGCACAGCACAGCCCTCGGCAGGGTACATCAAGATCGATACATTCAGCATTGCATTTGCCCGTCACCCAATCAGGTGTCTTTGAAAACGTTGTTCTACATTCCTTTCCGGGTTCGTGGGTCGATCATGTTGACCATTTGGGGGCATTTGTTGTTTTACGTGTTTGTTTAATTTTTTCCAAAATCCGTCTTTAGCGAGAAATGCCCGACCTGAGTCCAGTGTTGTTTTTCCCGTAAATGGTGCGGGCCCAGGGTTCTCTTTTAGTTTTGTAAAACTGTCCCCTGTGCCATGACTGAGGTGGGTCGGCGGATTCTTTTCCTGATTCTTCAAGGTCGAGGTGGGCCGGCGGATAAAAATTTTAGGATGTCTCAGGCGAAACGTTTGTTTTTCGGAATTGGTTGAGGATGTCTCGAGCGAAACGCTGGTTTTGCAGAGTTTGGGGATGTCTCGAGCGGGGGCCTCGTGGGGGGCCAGAGTTCAGAGGATGTCTCAGGCGAAGTGCTTGTTTTCACGTGCCCGGGTAGGCCAGGGGGGTATCCGGCGTGGTTGCCCGTCGCTGGCGCCTCAGACGACCGTATGTTGGATATCCCCCCTGGGTGGGCTGGAACCGTGAGTTTTTACGTGTGCAGGCCATCAGGGGGGTATCTAACATGGTGGTCCCGAGCTGGAATCACGTGTTTTCACATGTCCAGCCCACCCAGGGGTGTATCTAACATCGTGGTCCCGAGCTGGAACCACGTGTTTTTACATGTTCAGGCCACCCGGGAGGGGTATCTAACATAGTGGTTTTGCGCTGGAACCTTGTGTTTTCAAGTGTCCAGGCCACCCAGGGGGGGATCTAACATAGGGGTCCTGTGTCCAGGCCACCCACGGAGGTATCTAACATGATTGTCCCGAACTGGAACCACGTGTTTTTACGTGTCCAGGCCGCCCAGGGGGGATACCCAACATGGCGTCGGGCCCAACGCCGAATTATCAGAAAACGCACGGTGGGCCGAAAAGCGCTACCCTAGCACATATCCCAGTGATGTTTTCTTGCTCTGGACAGGGGGTGGCGCTTTGGGGGCCTCCCCAGGGGAGATAATGCGAGGATGTCTCGAGTGGGAGCGCGAATAACATGGTTGTCCCGAGCTGGAAGCACGTGTTTTTAGATGTCCTGGCCACCCAGGGGGGATCCAACATGATTGTCCCGACCAAGGACCACGTGTTGTAACGTGTCCAGGCCACTCAGGGGTGTATCTAACATGATTGTCCCGAGCTGGCACCGCGTGTTGCTACGTGTCCAGGCCACCCAGGGGGGCATCTGCCATGGTTGTCCCGAGCAAGGACCACGTGTTTTAACGTGTCCAGGCCACTCAGGGGTGTATCTAACATGTCTGCCCAGAGCTGGCACCCGCGTTTCTACGTGTCCAGGCCGCCCAGGAGGGTATCTAATATGGTTGTCCCGAGCTGACACCACGTGTCTTAGCGTATCCAGGCCACCCAGGGGTGTATCTGCCACGGTTGCCCAGAGCTGGCACCCTGTGTGTTTACGTGTCCATGCCACCCAGTCGGGTATCTAACATGATTGTCGCGACTTGGAACCACGTGTTTTTACGTGTCCAGGCCGCCCAGGGAGGTATCCAACATGGCGTCGGGCCCAACGCCGAATTATCAGAAAACGCACGGGGGGCCGAAAAGCGCTACCCGAACATATGTCCCAACACAGAAAAGTGATGTTTCTTGCTCTGAACAGGGGGTTGCGCTTTGGGGGCCTCCCCAGGGAAGATAATGCGAGGATGTCTCGAGCGGGAGCGCGAATTCAGCGTATCCAGGTCACGCAGGGCGGTATCTAACTTGACTGTCCCGAGCTGGAACCACGTGTTTTTCCCGGAAAGGGCTTCAGGCACAGGGTTCTCTTTTAGAGGTTTACCCCCGGATCTGACGGGAAGAGGGCCGGCGGATTCTTTTGCGATAGATAACGAGTAGGAAGAGGGCCGGCGAATTACAATTTCAGGATGTTCCTAGCGAAAAGCTTGTTTTTGAAAATTTGTTGAGGATGTCTCGAGCGAAGCGCTTGTTTTGTGTTATAGATTGTCCTCTCCTGGGGACCTGCATTCAGTGGATCCCTCAAGTGAAATGCTTGCTTTCACGTGCCCAGGTCTTGAGGATGTCTCGAGCGAGACGCTTGGTTTCACGCCTCCAGGTTGCCCAGACAGATGTCTAGCATGAGGATTTGTTGAGGATGTCTCGAACCAGAGGCTTGTTTTCACGTGTCCAGGTCGCCCAGGCGGATGTCTAGCATGAGGATGTGTCGAGGAAGTCTCGATCGAGACGTTTGTTTGCACGTGTCCAGGTTGCCCAGGTGGATGTCTAGCATGAGGATGTGCTGAGAACGTCTTGAGCGAAACGCGTGTTTTCACGTGTCCACGTCGCCCAGGCACAGCACAGCCCTTGGCACGGTACATCAATATCGATATCCTTAGCATTGCAGCCTGGCATGTTGCCTGGCACTTTCCGCGGAGCGTCCCGTGGCGAGTCCCCCTGGCACGTCGCGCGGTGCACGTCCATTGGCACGTTCCGTAGCGTGTCCCCTTGGCACGTCCCGCGGTGCGTGCCCACGGCACGTCCCCTGGCACGTCGCCTGGCGCGTCCCTTGGGACGTTCCGTGACGCGTCCTCCTGGCATGTCTCCTTGTCGGTTAGTTCTGGGGCAGCTACCATCTGCTCAGGCAGTTCGAGCTTACGATCCAGATCAGTTCGGTCAGGACTCGGATGCAAAGAGGACTCGATCCACAACGCTATATAGAGCACAATCGCGGCATGGCACATCGCAGTTCAGCACGGCGTAGCACAGCACAGCCCTCGGCACAGTACATCAAGATCGATACACTCAACATTGCACCTTGGCACGTTCCTTGGCGCGTTCCGTGGCGAGTCCACCTGGCACGTCGCGCGGCGCGTCTCCTGGCACGTCCCGCCGCACGTCCATTGGCACGTTTCGTAGCTCGTCCCCTTGGCACGTCCTGCGGTGCGTGCCCATGGCACGTCCCCTGGCACGTCGCCTGGCGCGTCCCTTGGGACGTTCCGCGGCGAGTCCTCCTGGCATGTCCCCTCTGTTGATTAGTTCTGGGGCAGCTACCATCTGCTCAGGCAGCTCGAGCTTACGATCCAGATCAGTTCGGTCAGGACTCGGATGCAAAGAGGACTCGATTCACAACGCTATATCGAGAACAATCGCGGCATGGCACATCGCAGTTCAGCACGGCGTAGCACAGCACAGCCTTCGGCACAGTACATGAAGATCGATACATTCAGCATTGCATGTGCCCGTCGCCCAATCAGGTGTCTTTGAAATTTTGCCAGGCATTACATTTCTATGTTCCTTTCCGGGTTCGTGGGTCGATCATGTTTGTTGTTCAGGCCACCCAGGGAGATCTCTAACATGATTGTCCCGAGCTGGAGCCACGTGTTTTTTACGTGTCCAGGCCACCCAGTGGGGTATCGAGCATGGTTGTCCCGAGCAAGGACCACGTGTTTTTACGTGTCCAGGCCACCAGCACGACGCTTTTCCCCATCACGTTCTGTAGCGCGTCCCCTTGGCACGTCCCCCGGTGCGTCCCCGTGGCACGTCCCCTGACACGTCGCCTGGTGCGTCCCTTGGAACGTTCCGCGGCGCGTCTTCCTGACATGTTCCCATGTCAATTAGCTCTGGGGCAGCTACTATGTTGACTATGTGCTCAGGCAGCTCGAGCTTAAGATCCAGATCAGTGCGGTCAGGACTCGGATGCAGCGGAGGACTCGATCCACAACACTATAGAGCACAATCGCGGCATGGCACATCGCAGTTCAGCACGGCGCAGCACAGCACAGCGCTCGGCACGGTACATCAAGATCGATACATTCATTCAGCATTGCAACTTGGCACGTTCCTTGGCACGTTCCGTGGCGCGTCCTGTGACGAGTCCCCCTGGCACGTCGCGCGGCGCGTCCCCTGGCACGTCCCGTGGCACGTCCATTGGCACGTTCCGCAGCGCGTCCTCTTGGCACATCCCGCGGTGCGCCCCCATGGCACGTCCCCTGGCACGTCGCCTGGCGCGTCCCTTGGAACTTTCCGCGGCGCGTCTTCCTAGCATGCCCCCCTGTGAATTAGCTCTGGGGCAGCTGCTATGTGCTCAGGCAGCTTGAGCTTAAGATCCAGATCAGTTCGGTCAGGACTCGGATGCAAAGGAGGACTCGATCCACAACGCTATAGAGCACAATCGCGGCATGGCACATCGCAGTTCAGCACGGCGCAGCACAGCACAGCGCTCGGCACGGTACATCAAGATCGATACGTTCAGCATTGCATTTGCCCGTCGCCCGATCAGGTGTCTTTGAAACGTTGCCATTTCTTACATTTCCATATTCCTTTCCGGGTGAGTGGTCGATCATGTTGAGAGCCCCGGGGCTTGGTGAGGGCCCTCAGAGGCTGGAAATGGCGAGAAGCCTCGCGTCCTGATTCTTGCCACGGCGCGAGCATGTTTGGGCGGGGATGCCGACGTCACCGCGCGGTCCGTCACCACCTGGGCGACGGACGAAAACGGGCGCGTCTTCACCGACATTGGCGCGGAAGCTGCCTGCGCAAGGTCGCGCGCAAGTTCCCTCGTTTCCAGTGTAGCGTGCCGCGCTGGCGACCTTCGTGAGCTGCGGCGTACGGTCGATACGTGAATCGTCCGTCGTCCATCGTCGTCGTCGTCGTCGTCGTCGTGGCCGTAGTCGTCGTCGTCGTGGTCGTCGTCGTTGTCGTCGTCGTCGTCGCCCGTCGCCCGTCGCCCGTCGCCCGTCGCCCGTCGCCCGTCGCCCGTCGCCCGTCGTCCGTCGTCCGTCGTCCGTCGTCAGTCGTCCGTCGTCCGTCGCCGTCGCCGTCGCCGTCGACGTCGTCGTCGCCGTCGCCGTCGTCGTCGCCGTCGTCGTCATTGTCCGTCGCCCGTCGTCCGTTGTCCGTCGTTACTTGGTCTTCGGGCCCCGAAGGACGTCATGGCCGGCGAGTGGTGGGCCTGGTCGGGGGCGTCGCCCTGCCGCGCCACACCTCCGGAGTCCCTGCTGCCGCGCTACGTCACCGGCACGCAGCTGGAGCGCCACGTCACTGGCACGCAGCTGGAGCCCAGAGGTTCGAGGTTCGAGGTCTGCGGGCGTTTTCGTCGCTGGTCGGCGGCTTTCCAGCCTGGGGATGCTTCCCAGAGCGGTCCGCGGGTGCCCAGATCGTCCCGAACGGCCGCGGGAGAGCCGAGCTATGACCCGAAAGCCGAAGGGCACCGAGGAAGAAAGGACACCAACACAGCTGCCCTTGCCCCGTCTTCGCCCGTGTTGGGCCTCCCGGGAGGCACTCGCCGCCACGGCTGGACTCGACTTGGGAGCCTCGTCAGGACGCACCCTGGGAGGGGTCCCGGGGGGTAGCGGTGTTCACCACCCACTAAACCACCCCAACCCAACCCGAAGGCCCCAATTTGCCCTCCATTGCTAGTGGGAGGGGGCATCGCGGAACATTGAAAAAGCACATGCGGAACCGTACCTCCCCCCCCACCCGAAATTTGGGTATTCGGGCTAGGTTGAGGTGGTCTAGGCCTCCCAAAGAGGGTCGGAGTAGATGGGGTCAGAGGATCGCGCCGCATCGCCGATGTATCGCCGATGCGGCTCGATATTGGCCCCGATTTGCTTCACGTCGACGTCGACGATGCATCGCCCGCGTCGACGATGCGATGCATCGCCGATGTATCGGCGATGCGGCGCGATCCCCCGACCCCGTCGACGCCGACCCCCTCAAGGAGGCCTCTATGTGGTCTGGTAGGTACGGGGTACGGTGGGGGCGTCGGTTAAGGAACGTGCACGGGAGGCGCCAGACCCTGAAGGATTCCTTATCCAATGAGGGCGGCGGTGATATCCATGGCCGATCCACGATTGGAGCCAACCCAGCTTCCAGACCCTGGATTCCTTATCCAGGGGCTCCTTATTCAATGCCCTCACCGTCATTCGGTAGTCAGATGTCGGCGTCTTCTGCTCACCCCATGTGCGCGTCCTCCTTGTTGCAGGCACGGCCCGTGCAGTGCATGCCTCCTCCTCCTCCTCCTCCTCCTCCTCCTCCTCCTCCTCCTCCTCCTCCTCCTCCTCCTCTTCCTCCTCCTCCTCCTCTTTTGCTGCGGTGCGGCGGGCGGCGACCCCGGGCCGTGGTGCAGCGTCAACCCACGGCGCGGCTGTCCCAGGGCGCAGCGGCACAGCCAACCGGCATGGGAAGGCTGCGTTGCCTCGTCGGGGGACCTCGCCTGTCCCCCAAAGCGGTGTCTTCTCCTGTGCCCGACGGGGGTTCGAGGAGGACCCGGCGCGGACGTGGCGTGGATCCGAGGCGGAGCCGGCACCGATCCGACACGGATCCGACGAGTCCGCCATGGATTCGACACGGTTCCAACGCGGACAGGGCCGCGACGGGACAGATAAGACCCTTGGAGGATGCAGCATGAGGAAGGATGAGCGACACCCCAAAGGTACCCTTGCAACCTTGCCCCTTCGGTAATCTTCGGCCCATCCTCAAACACGTTCGATGGCCAGCCCCGCTCGACGAGCCTCGGCGTGGGCGCCCAAGGCCCTCGCACCCTTGCCGCGATCCTCACCACATGGGTTGCCTGTATCGCTGCTTTCCGTTTCTTACCAGTTTGAAACATATCCCTATCTTTATGTTTGACATCACCTCACCTCGATGCCGATCTTAAGGATTCCCTCAGTTTCTGAGGGCCTATCCCTAAGATTGTCTTCGCTTTTTGCTCGCCAATCTTAGGGATAGGGATATGCTCCAGGCTGGCCCAGGAGCAGACGCTTGGGGACAGCTGGCCCGCGGCCTCGCCGAGCGCGCCCTTCCCGCCCCACACGGGGTGAGAGGCGCGCGGTCGGCCGCGGCGGTGGGCGTGGGCGCGGCCGTGCGCGGTCGCTCCCGCCCCGCCGCGCCGCGGGAGCGGCGTGGCAGCCCGCATGCGGCAGCCTGCAGCCATGCCTGCCGCTGCGGCCGCGCTGTGCCGGAGGCACCGCTCGCGTGCAGCTGAGGCGCACCGTGCCGGTGCGTGGCACGTCGCCGTGTTGCGCGTCTCCACCGCACGGCGCTGCTGCGCCGCCCGCGCAGAGCTGCGCCGAACGGCACCGCGCTCCGCAGGGCACAGGGCAGCAGCAGACGCTCCCGGAGTCCCCCCTTGCGGGGGGACACGCCCGACCCGATTCCACGTGCGCGACGCAGAGAGAAGGGGCCGACTGCGCCGACGTGCGCGCGCAAGTTTCTCGCAGGAGGTCGCTCGCAGACGCCCTTTTCTCCGCGCGGTGTGCCTCGCGGGCGGCCCGCGTAAGCCGTGGCGTAAGGTCGCTAGGCCGTCTCGCGCAGGACCCGTCGCTCACGTGGGAGACGAATCGGCATCGGCAGCGCCTCGGGCCTAGCGGACAATCAGTTTCCCGCCGGCTCGTATCCAAGAAGGGCCAGGCAGTGCAACTTGGTGAGCCAGGGTTCGCTTGTCGTTCTCTGTCTCTCTCTCTCTCTCTCTCTCTCTCTCCCCCCCTCGTCCTCAGTGCTTACGTCTCCTCATCCTTATCATCCTCGTTGTGTATGGCGCACTCGCTGGCATGTTCCCCACCTGTCCTCCGCACCCACATGCAGGTTTCAGAGCTTCTCCGAGCTGGAGCCATGCATATGGCGTCCTGAGCTCAGGGAGCACTCGCTCACAGCGCAATCGACGTAACTGTTCACTCGATGCATCCGCCACCGCCTCCTCTGCGCAGCGTCTGCACACGATGTGAAATCTGTGCACAGGGCAGGCGCGAGCACGATCTGCTGAACTTCGGGCGTTCTCTCGAGGCGGTGCGCTGGCAACGAGGGGTGACGCTGGAGTGAAGTCGGGCCTGTCCCTCTACAGGGGGAATGTTCAAAAACAGCAAAAAATAAGATGGGGACGTTTTTTCCCGGAAAGGGCGTGGGCCCAGGATTCTCTTTTAGTTGGTTTACCCCCAGTTTTGACTTGAAGGAGGCCGGCGGATTTCCGCTCGATTAAAAACGAGGTAAAGTCGAATTCGGCGTGAAAACATGCGTTTCGCGCGTGCCCGCTCGAGGTGAGTCGACCCCCCACTTCGGATCCTCTATAAATAACGGGGTCCGCGGACCACCGTTGTCCTGCGCAAAAAAGAGGATACGGGCAATTTTTTGCAGAATCCTCGGAACAAAAACGAGGTCTGAAGCCCCGACCGCGACGCGGAAAAGCGTCCCGCGCGCAGGAATTCCGAGGATGTCTCGCGCGTGCCGCCTCCCGCGCGCAGGAATTTCGAGGATATCTCGACTAATCCGTTTGTTTTTCCAAGATTTCCTCGGCCACACAGGGAGGTATCTAACATGTTCTGCTAGAGCGTGAACATTTTGAGTTCTTGCGTGCCCGCTCGAGGATGGTGCGCCCCCCGCGCCAACAAATCGAGGAGGTCTCGAGCGAAACGCTTGTTTTGCAAAACTTGAGGGGCCTGGGCGCCCCAGCATGCCCCAGGAGGCCCTGGGAGCGCGGACGCGGCGTAATCTACAAGGGATCGTGGCGTTTGGAGCGCGGAACACGCGTAATTTGCAAGGGATCGTGGCCCTCGGAGCGCGGGCGCAACGTAATTTACGATGGGTCGGGGCCTTGGGAGCTCGGACGCAATATAATTTACAATGGATCGTAGCCCTTGGAGCGCGGGCGCAGTGTAAAATACAAGGGATCGGGGCCCTGGGGGCTCGGAAGCAGCGTGATTTACGATGGATCTTGGCCCTGGGAGCGCGGACACAACGTAATTTACAAGGGGTCGGGGCCCTGGGAGCGCGACCCCAATGTAATTTACAAGGGATCGTGGCCCTGGGAGCGCGGACGCAGCGTAATTTTCAAGAGATCTTGGCCCTGGGAGCGCGTCCCGTGGCACGTCCATTGGCACGTTCCGTAGCGCGTCCACTCGGCACGTCCCGCGGTGCGTCTTCGTGGCACGTCCCTTGGCACGTCGCATGGCGCGTCCCTTGGGACGTTCCGCGGCGCGTGCTCCTGGCATGTTCCCCTGTCAATCAGCTCTGGGGCAGCTACTATGTGCTGAGGCAGCTCGAGCTTAAGGTCCAGATCAGTTCGGTCAGGACTCGGATGCAAAGGAGGACTCGATCCACAACGCTATAGAGCACAATCGCGGCATGGCACATCGCAATTCAGCACGGCGCTGCACAGCACAGTCCTCGGCACGGTACATCAAGATCGATACACTCAGCATTGCGTTTGCCCGTCGCCCAATCAGGTGTCTTTGAAACGTTGCCAGGGAGGTATCTACCTGTTTTCCCAAACTGGAGCCACGTGTTTTTACATGTCCAGGCCGCCCAGGGGGGATATCCAGCATGGCGTCGGGCCCAACGCAGAATTATCAGAAAACGCACGGGGGGCCGAAAAGCGCTACCCGAGCACATATCCCAGTGATGTTTCCTTACTCTGGACAGGGGGTGGCGCTTTGGGGGCCTCTCCAGGGAAGACAATGCGAGTTCAGCGTGTCCAGGCCACGCAGGGGGGCATCTAACATGGCTGTCCCGAGCTGGAACCACGTTGCATGTCCTGGCCACCCAGGGGGGTATCCAACATGATTATCCCGAGCATGGACCACGTGCTTAAACGTGTCCAGGCCACTCAGTGGTGTATCTAACATGGTTGTCCCGAGCTGGCAACACGTGTTTTTATATGTCCTGGCCACCCAGGGAGGCATCTAACATGGTTGTCCCGAGCAAGGACCACGTGTTTTAACATGTTCAGGCCACCCAGGCCACCCAGGGGTGTATCTAACATGGTTGCCCAGAGCTGGCACCTACGTTTTTACGTGTCCAGGCCGCCCAGGGGGGTATCTAACATGACGTCGGGCCCAACGCCGAATTATGAGGAAACGTACGGGGGGCCGAAAAGCGCTACCCGAACACATGTCCCAATCCAGAAAAGTTATGTTTTCTTGCTCTGAACAGGGGGTTGCGCTTTGGGGGCCTCTCCAGGGAAGACGTTGCGAGGATGTCTCGAGCGGGAGCGCGAATCCAGCGTATCCAGGGCACGCAGAGGGGTATCTAACATGGCTGTCCCGAGCAAGGACCATTGGTTTTTCATGCTCAGGCCACGCATGGAGATCTCTAACATGATTGTCCCGAGCTGGAACCACGTGGTTTTACGTGTCCAGGCCACTCAGGGGGTATTTAACATGGTTGTCCCGAGCTGGCACCACGTGTTTTTCCCAGAAAGGGCGGGCGCCCAGGGTTCTCTTTTAGAGGTTTACCCTCGGTTTCGACGGCTGTAGGGCCAGCGGATTTATTTTGCAAATATAACGAGGTCGCCTAGGGCCGGCGGAATTATGTTTGAGGATGTCTCGAGCGAAATGCTTGTTTGTCAGTTGTCGAGGCTGTCTCTCGCGAAACGCTTGTTTTGTGTTATAGCTTGTCCTCTCCCGGGGACCAGAATTCAGAGGATCCCTCAAGTGAAATGCTTGTTTTCACGTGCCCAGGTCTTGAGGATGTCTCGAGCGAGACGCTTGGTTTCACGCCTCCAGGTTGCCCAGGCAGAGGCCCAGCGCCAGGATTTGTCGAGGATGTCTCGAGCGAGACATGCTTGGGCTCGGGGCGCAGGCCTCGCCGTGGCCTTGCCGTGGTGTCGGCGTCGTCCTCTTTGGGCACGTCGAGGACAGCCGGCGCGGCGACAGATTCAAGCCCTGAGGGCTGAGGACCACAAGAGGCTTGAGGGCACCGGAGCTCTTTGCCTCGTGGCACGACGGCGGATAAAAGTGCTCTTCGTCCCCTCCAGGAAGAGAGGCAGGGGTCTCGCTGGAATCCCCCGTAAGCCCCTTCCAGGCAGGGCAGCGCTTGGCAGCTTACCACGCCTCAGCATGCCAGGTGGCGTGGTGGCGGATAGACCGTTCGCGCACGCGCGTTTGACAAGGGCCAGTTAGCGTCCTCCCCGTACCTCCTGCCCTCCCACGTATTCTCCTCTTCCTCCGCCCCGCAGCCACTGCTAGAGTGTGGCCTCACAGCGTCCGGCGTCACCACATCGACTGCCCGAGATGCGATAGGTCAGATACGTCTGCGGGACGGCCTTGGCCATGGAATTTTTGCCACGCACTCGTTTTTGCTAGAGGTTTCTGCGGGTCTGGCGACCCTGGCGAGTCACACGAGCATGCAACGCACGAGCTTGAGCTCGAAGCTCGCTTCTCCGACATTGCATCTCATGTCATCCCTTGTCCTGCCGTCGCCGACGGCGGCGGCGACGACGGTTCCAACGACCATCCCGAGTAAGAATCCGACGAC